CTCATCACACTTTATCTTTTCTTACTGTTCAGATGTGAGCGCCGCCTAGTGGCAGAAAGTGCACACTGTACCTTTAATGTGACACATTGAGTTCACACTGATGTTGGTTAAAGTCAGGATGTTTATTGAGGCACAGCACCGATGTGTCTGACGGTCCTTGAAGGCAGCAGCAGCACACTGACGTGGATGTTTGAGTCACAGGAAGCGAGTTTCTATTTAAAGCCACAAAAACATGAAAAATGAGTCATGTGGGAAATAAGGAGGTATTTGTGTTCTCCTCTGAACTCCTTCAACAGATTAACAAAGGTTTAAAACAACACTGGATGTATTGATCTACAGACGATGAAGATGAAGATGATGAAGATGATGATGAAGAAGATGATGATGAAGATGATGATGAAGATGGTGGCTTCCTGTAGTTCACTTTGTGTTAAATAGCAATAAAGTGAAATTGTTGTAGTTCTGATCAGCGGTTTGATTGATCTGTAAAATATCAACAGCTGCTGATCATTTTCTGTCGATCAATGAATTGATCATCATTGCTAACAATAATCAATAACCGTATTGATTGATAACTGCATATAGAAAGATGATCGTCAATATCCTGAATACAGGGATCAATAACACTGATCAACTCTACAGTTCCTGTAACATCAGTCAGTATCTTATTAATGGGTTATGATGATAAATCAGCTGTTTCCTCACACATTCATTATTATTATATATTAATTATTATAATTCATGTAATTAATATCTGATAATTATTATTAGAATTGTATTATAATTGTAATAATTATAATATAAATTATATAATATATTATATTAATAACAACAATACAATTATAATAATTAATATATAATAATAATCATATAATAATTATATATTATATAATAATAATTATCTGATATATAATAATCTGATATGGTAATAATAATAATAATAATAATAATATTATGTGTGTGTGTGTGTGTCAGACGGTGCTGAAGGAAGGGAATCTGATGAAACAGACCAACTCGTTCCAACGCTGGAAGAGACGATACTTCAAACTGAGAGGGAGGACTCTGTACTACGCTCAGACCGCCAAGGTGAGTCACTGACCTCAGGTCCACCTCAGGTCCACCTGGTCCACCTGGCGTCCACCTTCAGGTCCACCTTGGGCTCCACCTGGTCCACCTGGGTCCACCTCAGCGTTCCACCTGGGGTCCACCTTCAGCGTCCACCTGGGTCCACCTCAGGTCACATGGGTCCACCTCAGGTCCACCTGGGTCCACCTGGGTCCAGGTGTTTCTGAATGTGTGAACCTCCACAGGCTCTGGTGGATCTTCAGCAGCATGTGGACTCCAGGTAGTCCTGTGAGTGTCAATAAGACCAGCTTCCATTGGTTTTTATGGAATACATGTGTTATAGTTCTAATAATACTACTAATAATAATACGAATCAATGAATATTGATCTGTGTATTGATCTGTGTGTCTGCAGTCCATAATCTTTGATGAAGTGGATCTGACTGACGCCAGCGTGGCCGAGTCCAGCACCAAGAACGTCAACAACAGCTTCACTGTGAGTGTGTTCAGAACCAGGACCACCCTGGACCCTGATGTGGAATCAGCTGGTCCATAAAGAGGTTTTGGTATTTAGTGCTATAAAAAGAGTCAAACATTGAGGAGCTGTTAGTTTCTGAATATTAATAATATTAATAATAATAATGCAGTGCACAGTCACTCACCTTTATCATCAGGGAAAATACTACCATTACATAGAACACTGGTTCCCAACTTGAAGGTCGGGGCCCCCGCTAGGGGTCGCCAGAGCTTTACGGGGGTCACCTGGCCTTCTTAATTTAAGGGTTATATAAATATATATATATAAATATATCTCAGTGTTTGTTCATTTCTGTGAATAACACTACATCAAATAGTTATTTCTGGATTATTATTATTATTTAGTATCTAAAGTTTGAAGAAAACACAGACAAATACATAATACAGACTATTATTAATAACAAGTTCCTATAAATATGATTAAAACTTATCTGAGGACATTTACACAAAAGTCTTATTGTTGTTAATATGAAATATATTATTATTATTAGTTATATGAAATATAAGTCACTTAATCAGCTGATTAAAAACAATAAATCTATTTATATACATGCAGGACAATAAGTACGATGAAGATCTTCCTCATGTCCTCCACAGTCTCATTATTTAATGATATATAATAATAATAATAATATTCTTAAACAGTCAAACTAAGAAGACCGTGATTGACAAAAATAACCTCTATTTATTTATTTATTTATTTATTATTAACTTTTGAAAATGAGATTAGTGTGAGTGTGAGTGTGTGAGTGTGAGTGTGTGTGTGTGTGTGTGTGTGCAAGAAAGAGAATATAAAGTTTGATACTA